ATTTATTATCTCCGTTTCTGTGAGTCCCGAGTCTAGGCACGGCTTAGCTGGGTCTTCTGCTTAGGGACTCACAAGGTTGCAATCAAGGTGACAGCTGCGCTGCATTCTCATCTGGAGGCTCAGCTAGGGAGGAATCACTTCCAAGCCCCCACAGGTTTTTGGCAAGAGTCATTTCCTTGTGGCTATAGGACTGAGGACCATGGCTTCTTGCTGGCTGTCAACTGGAGGCTGCCACAGCTCCTAGAGACCACTCATAGCTCCTTGCTTTGTGTGCGTCCCTAACATGGCTGTTTATTTCATTGAGTCAGCAAGGGGAGTCTCCAGAGCTAGTCTGCTAGTTATATGATATAATATAATCTTGGAAGTGACAGCCCATCATCTTTGCCATATTCTGTTGGTTAAAAGCACATCACAGGCCCTACTCATACTGGAGAGGAAGGGATTACACAAAGGCATGAGTATCAGGAGGTGGGGACACAGGGAGTTACTTTAGCATATATCTGCCACTGAAGACCTCCCTGAGAAAGGAAAATGGAGCCAGAATCTAAAACATGAGTTGGCATTAACTACATGGATGGGGGAGGGAAGCACTGCCCAGGTAGAGAGGACAAGGTGTGCAGAACAGCACTATAGCATTTACAAAGGCTCGGCTCGGTGACTGGTAATGCTGTGTCACTCTCCTGGTCAGCAGCCATAAGTGGCTCCTCAATGCCCTTGGTTTTCCCCATCTTCAAGGCCAGATAGGCCACCTCCTTGCCCTCGCTTTCTCCAGCATCCATGGCTTCACTCAACACTTCTACCCACTTAGACTGCCCCTGCCCCTCCTATATATCGCCATCTATATGTAATTCAAGGCCCAGCATCAACTGATCTCTAAACAGTATTTCTGAACATCTATTATCATTCTATTTATGAACAAAATTTAAATATTTTGAACATTCATGCTAGACCTTCCTTGAATTGCAAAGCATAATGAGACATGACCCTGGATGCCAGATGGAGGAGGTGGGGGCAGAAAGTGTATCTAAATAAAAAGAAGAAGACTAGGAGGTCCCCTTGCTGAAGGTTCAGCCACGGGACAGTTGGTAAGTCCTGTGGGGATTTTAGAACACCCAGAAAGCTCCGCTTCATACAGTGGTTAATGATCTTTCAGTATTCTTCCCTAGACTAGAAACTGCAAACGGGTTCTAAAAGGTTCGGTCAAACTGATGTTTTTCCAGGAGGGGCAGTTGGAGGCAGGAACTGCCCAGCCACAGCCCGCACTGCCAGGCAACCTGGCCAGGCCAGGTCAGTCCTCAGCTGGCACCAATGGCTGGACTGACAGGAGTCTGGGACAGCAACGGGGATCCCTGACCACATCCAGGGCCTGTCCCTGAAAGGCTGGAAGAAGCCCCGGTAGCACGGCAGCCTTAGCCACATCAGCAGGGAAGGGGCACACGGAAGGGAAAAGCAACCCAGGTCGGCAGCCCAGAGCCTGCCTTCCATCAGCCGGCAACGGGGTGGGGGGTGGGGCGCGTTGAGGGATGGGGGGCGGGGACCAGGGGCTGGGCTGGCGGCAGAGGGCGGGGCCACGGGGGGAGGAGTTAGGGTGGGAATCGTGGGTGGGGTCGGGTCGCTTCCCAGCCCCACCTCAGGAAGAAGCCGGCCTTGGATGCTGCAACTCCAGCCTTGGAACCAATCGCCACCTGCCCAGTGCTGTGACTGAGGGGCGAGTCTCTGCAGATACCTTGGAGGGCAGAAGCAGCCTGAACCCAGGGGCGGGGAGAGGCCTGCCATCTACCTGGGTTTCTCCTCACCCCTCCCCTCTCCCCGATACCGCCTCTCCGTCCCCGACAGAATGTTCCCTAGTGCCCGCTCCACCTGGAAGCCAGAGAGCTTTTTCTCAATAGCCATCAAAGCTTCCTCCTTTGCTTTGAGGGCAGAGGACCCGACACAATTCCTCCCTCGCCCTGTACTCTCCTTGCCTCGCCTTCCCTCTTCCAGACTGAACTATCCCCAGGTAGCTCCGCAAGGGCTTTGTACAAACTAGTCAGTACACCTGGGACACTGTTCCCACCCTTCTTCATCTAATTAATTGCAACTTCTTTTTCAGTCTTAGACAGATATCTACTCGGGAAAGCCTTCCCCGAGCCTCCCATCCTGCTATGGGCTCCTGGGCTTGGCCCACCTGTGCCCTGGTCACCGTACATCACAACTGTCTGCCTGCCTGTCTGTTCTCCTTTTTTTCCTTCTTCCTACCCTCCCGCTCCCCCTACCTGGCCAGTGCGAGCGTGCTGCAGCATCTCCAGTGCCTGGCACAGGGCTCAGAATGATCGTAACACCTGGCCTGGTGCTCCTCTGCCATCCTCTATACCCCTGCCTGGATGGGAGGCTCCTGGGTCACTTCATCTCACACAGCAGCAAGTCTCAAGCTAGGGTGGGCATCAGGAAGACTTGGGTGCGGGGAGGGGGGGAGCTTATTAAAATACAGATTGCTGGGCCCCACCCCCAGAGTTTCTGATTCAGCAGGTCTGGAGTAGGGCCTGAGAGCATGCATTTCTAACAAGTTTCCAGGTGATGTTGCAGCTGCCGGCCCAGGGACCACACTTTATGTATCACACCTTAGAGCACCTGTTTCTTCATTGGTAAAATAGGACAACTGCTGTCCCCACTGTACTAGGTTTTTGTGCCAATCAAATGAGACAATGCAAATGAGAAACTCAGCATGTTGCCTGCACCCAGTAGGTGCTCACTAAGTGTTTCCTGTTGCTACTCAGAGTAGGCAGGAGACATGCCAGGCAGGGAAAACAGGAACAGGAACAGAGGTGGGAAAGGGACCAAGCAGGGCAGCTGGGCTGGCAGAAGGGCAAGGCCCAGCACAGCAGCCAGGGAGTCCAAGTTGTGCTCTGGAAGCAGCTGGGAGCCACACACAGTTCTGGAGCATGGCAGGGACAGGTGGAAGCTGAATGTGGCAACATTAAGCACAAGGCTGTTGCCAGCAGCAAACCTCATGTGCTGGATACTCCTTGGCTGTTGGGCCAGTCATAAGGTTGCCAAGATTTTAACATATAAAAATAAATTCTATCTAGTTAAATTTGAATTTCAGATACCAATAAATGATTTTTTTAGTGTAAGTATGTCCCCAGTATGGCAGGGGACATACTTACATTAAAAAAAACCTTTTGTTATTCATCTGAAATTCAAATTTAATTGGGCATCCTTTATTTTTTATAACTATATAGACTTTATTTGCAGACAACTATGTAATATATTCTAATTTCATTTCCTTTCCTTTTTTCCTGGAGTCATCATTGTCTAGCTCTTTTCCTTTTTGTTTAATTTTCTGAGTACCTATCACAGCTCTACTCCAAACTTTTTCCCAGCATCCTCATTCAATGCATTCAAACATAGCAAATAATTTCTTAAATTATCACTTTGCTGTACACCAGGAATGAACACAATACTGTAAATCAACTATACTTCAACTTTTTAAAAAAGACACTGGAGTCATCCCTCCTGGATGGGTAGATCTGATGGTCATCCTTTATTTCTATTCGCTAAATCTGACCAGACATTAATTGCCTGCCACTCAAGCCTGCATTCTGGAGGGAGCCAGGGCAGGTAACTCTGCCTCCCTTCCCACCTTCAACAGGGCCACTAGGAGTGGTCAAGGAGTCACTCCTGCCCATGACAAGTGGTCACGACTTCAGGCCTGGGTGAGTGGTCCTCTCACTTCACGCCGGGTTCACCCAGCCAGAAAGCAGTAGGGCACAGTAAATAATCATTGGGTCTTGCAACTTAACAAAGCACACGTGGCTACCAGGTTCCGGAAAGCAGGAAGCGCCACCTGCACTGATGGGTCACTCAAGAAACAAACAGCTGCCAGTGGTATAGGCCCACCTAGTCAGGGAACCCAGGAAGAGGAGAACATTGCCTTCATCCCCAGAAGTGAGCAAACGCAAGCGCCCATGCTGCCCACACACAAGAAAGACGCCTCGGAGATGGTGATGTAAACCTCAAGTGAGAACAGGGTGGTCCTGGCCTCGTTCATCTCAGTTGGGTGTTAGGACAAGTCACAGCACCAGAGTTAGCCTTCCCCACCCCCACCGTCATCAAATCCCAGGCGATTCATTGTTCCGGAAACAAACCTGTTGGAAATCCAATTTCTGCAACAGTCTTTATATCGAGGTTTTTTTTTCTCTAATAGAGAATAATGAAAACTATTTGTGCTCTATCTTAAAAAAAAAAGTGATAATCATGGTTGAACGCCTGGCATGTGCCCTGTGCCGTGTCCAGCATTTTATTTGGCTCCATAGTTCTCAGCCTTGGGTGCATATTACAATCACCTGGAGAGGTTTTTGTTTGTTTTGTTTTCCAATTCCAATAGCCGAGGCCTCAGTATTGGCCACGAGCACAGGGATTTCTATTTGCAGCCAAAGTTGAGAACCACTGATTTAGTTCATCCTGTTTAATCTTCACAATACAATCCTGCTGGGTGGATTTTATCTCCGTCTTGCAGATGAGGTAACTGAGGCTCAAAGAGGTGGAGTTACTGTGGCATTTGTGGGCACAACCCCTGACTGCCCCTCCCTCCCCCCTCCCTCCCTTCCTTCCTTCCTTCTCAGACTCCCTGGAAGGATTCCTGATGTTCCCAGTGTTTGACTGTTGAATACAGTGTTATATCTAATGCTTTCACAGACATGTTTGTGGCATGGGGCTGCCCTCTGGCCACCTTGAGATAGCTCTGCTTCCAATAGGAGCTCTGCTCCCAACAGGGTTCTTCTGAGATACCAGCCAGACACTGTCTGGGTTCAGGACTGACACCAAATGACTTTTGCTAGGGCAAGGACAATTGAGACCAGCCACTTCCAACCAGGTCCTGTCACCCAGTCAGACTGCAAGTGGCCATCTCTCACACTCCTCACCACCCAGTACTTTCTAAGCCTGGCTCTTTGCCATTGAACCCCCCTCCCGCCAAGCTTTTTCTGGGTTCCCTCCCTCTTTACAGTAAACTCTCTCACCTCCTGACCCTTCTCAGGTCATCTTTGCGGGCGCCAATACATCCTCACAGGTTGTCGGAGAACTCTTTGATCCAGGGCAGGCCGAGAACCACAGATCCAGCGGGGGAAAAAAACGCTTTTCTGCCGGAGCCTCGCCGGCAGCTTGCGGGCCCACGGATCCTTCAGACCTGCGCCCACCTGGGCTCACCTGTTCCTATCGCGGCGCCTGCGGGCGGAAAAGAGGTTCCGCTGGGCGGGAAAGCTGGTCATCGCCTGCCCTCTGCTGGCCAGTGGAAGTATTGAGGCCGCTACCGCTCCGCCCGGGGAATAGGCTGGGCGGAAGGGAGAGCAGGCATTTTTTGAGCTCCCGCTGTATCAGGCACTGAATTGGACGCTGGGGTATGAGGAGGAACGCAACCTGCTCTCACGGAGTTCATATTCAAAGAGCCGGACAATAATCAAATAGTCGTTCAAGCAAATGAAAAACTACAAATGTGGGCACTATTGATATGAGGGCCCCGTCCAGCCTCGGAGGTGGTGTTGGGGTAGGGAGTGGAGGTCAGGGAAAGCTGCCCCCGAGGAAGGGACTTTTGAGTGCTAAGTGCCTCACAAAGTCATTTTACGTAATCTCGAAAATCCTGCAAGGTGGCTATTCCCTTTGACAAAGCAGAAAACGGGCTCATTGGGGAAAGAATTTACCAAGGTCACACAGGAAGCTAGCAGCCAAGCCAGGAAGGCTTAGGCCGACTCGATTCGAAAGTCCCAGCTTTTCCGCGGATCCTGGAGGTGGGGCTCGTGGCCGGCCACGCGGACGTTCCGTCAAGGAACTCTAGGGCGCGGGGCGGGACGGGCTAGGGCCTGCGTGGGCGGGGCCTGAGGCGGGCCCCGGCCTCCATAGGTGGAAGGGCGCCCTGGGGCGGGGACTGGGTCTTTCCGGAAGGTGGAGTCTAGACGGATTGGGACCTGCAGAGGCCGCCCTTGGCTCGTGGAACGGGGCGGGACCGGGATCTCACCCCGTCCTAGAGGAGCCGGAAGTGCCTAGTGAGTGCGGGGCGAAGGACACTTACCTGCTGACCCTGCGTACTCAGGTAGAGGCGGCGGCTCTGGGTCCCGGAAGTCCAGAGGGCAACCCCCCAGGGAGGGCCCAACCCGGGCCGGAGATGAGATACCCCTCCCCCGCCCCGTTCATCTGTCCTGCCATCTGTCCCTCATTCCTTTCCGTTCCCAGGCCTGAGTCCATCTTTAGCCATCAGAAGGGAACTCCTCACTTCACTCCTCTCCCCACCCAGTGCTGCGGGGCCCTCCGGACATCCGGAATGCCGGATCAGAAGAGAACGAGCTATAAAAAACCTCTTAAGGGGAAAGTTTCACCCCAGCTTCACCGCAGGCTGAGTGTGTTTCCTTGGGGAGGACACCCACTCTCTCTGGTACAGAGGGTCCTCAGGTGCAGAACGGGGTCTGCCCCGTGCCTGGCCCGCCCTGAGACTGGGTAGGTCAGATGCAGTAGCTGTGACGGCTGCTGGGGGTCCTGGGTGGAGCTTTCTCCCTTCCAGGGCAAAAGCAATGCTTATCTTTCTGCTCCCTCTGGTCCTAGATGGAGAGTCACACCCCAACCCCTCCCTGAATCTGGGAGCCCAAAAAGGCTGAGGGCTTACACCCAGAGCTGCTTGTTCTGGCTTCCCCGTGGTGGAGTTGTGTGCTGGCTTGGAAGGCTTGTGGATGTTCCCAGAGTGGACTCTGAGGCCTGCCTGGAGCCAACAGTGGGGCCACTTTTGCGCAGGGCCTTGAATGCGAAGTTCAGAAGTCTGAACTCAGGCCAGGGGCAGTGCATAGGAGTCTGACCTGTAGTGCCCTTGGAACCAGCCTGGGTGAGTGGAGCTGTGGTGGGGGGAGTGGACAGCACTGCATTTTGCTGCTTGACATGAATTAGGTTGTTAATTACTCACACGTCCCTTAGGTTATCCCTATGACAGAGGTTGAAACTGAGGCTCAGAGAGGTGATGTGACTCGTCCAAGGTCACAGCTAGTACATGCCAGGGAGGAAATTAGAACCCAGACAGTCTGGTGCCTTAACCACGGTGCCTGCTGCCACCCAGGATCTGGGTGTCGTTAGCAAAACCTTGACCTAGGACAGCAGGAGGAAAAAGGAGGGGCCGGACAAGCAGGAAACTGGGGACCAGGATTCAGAGGGCTTGGGAGTGAGGGGTACCCATGGGTCCTGAGAGGAATTCAGCTGACCTGGGCCTTCAGGGGGAGAGGAAGTGTTTGATTTCAGACATGTTAGTCTAGGGGTGAAGGGTGGTATAGGGGAGCCAAGCAGAGCTCTCCTCCATCTGGAGAAGACCGGGCAGGCAGAGCTAGGTCCTGGGGACTGGAGATGCCTTCAGGGATGGGTGCATGTAGAGGAGAGGAGCACCCCCACCCCTCCAAATGCTGAGCAAGCAGAGATAGGGGCATCCACTCATGGGGTGGGGACAAGGAGAGGGATGAATTCTAGCCTGTCATGACATCAGAGCTGAGAAAGATCTGAAAAACCCAGGCCTTGTTTCATAGAAGGGGAAGCTGAGGCCAGCAAGTTACTGGCCTAAGAACGCTCCTGGGTGGATCAGTGTTGGACCCTGCATATCACCTCTGCCATTCAATTCTTTTCTACTGTTTCAGCGACTAGGGGCAGTTTTGTCCCCCAGGGGACATTTGACAAAGTTTGGAGACCATTTGGTTGTCACAGCTGGAGGAAAGGTGCTCTGGGCATCTAGTGGATAGACCAGGGATGCAGCTAAACATCTGACACCCCCAACCCACCCCCACAACCAAGAATTCGCCAGCCCCAAACAGCAGTGATGCCCATGTGGAGGAGCTCTGGACGAGGTGGAGCTGCGCCTGTCTCCCTGGCCGCCTAGCCCCGGCCCCAGCACCTGCTCTTGCCCTCTGTGGGCCGGATAGATCAGGCTAGGCCTCCAGCTAGGCAGAACTTTGCCCCCACCCTGGTCTGCCCCTCTCATGCCTCTCATGCAGCTTCTAGAGTCTTCTCTGCCTTTTCTGGGCACAGTGTTCTAGAGCCCTGCCCACCACATGTCTCTCCTTGTCAGTCGGTCTGTCTCCTCAGACCCGGTGTTCAGACTTCGGTGTTAGGGAGGGAGAAACCAAAGTGGGAATTTTCACCTAGCACATAGCAGGTGCCTTGAAGCTAAAAGATTTGTTCAATTTGAGTGACATTTTAGGGGTCCAAAGAGTTTCATTTTATTCCAGGTTTTCATTTTAGCGATTCTCATGGGACCTTATGTTTGTGAAACTCTCAGTTTCTAACCAGCTCCCAGGTGACTCTGGGCCCTGGACCACATTTTGAGTGGTGAGGCATTACAGAGCTGTTCAAAGGTGGACTGTGGGCTGGGTGGCCTTCCCAGCAGACAACTGTGGTGTGGTTTGGGGTCTGTGGATTGGGAGGCATCTCAGGAAACCAGGACTGAGTCATCACTCCCTCCCCACATCTCTGGCCTATCAGCTTCATAGGGTTTGGATAAGTTACCGGACTTCTTTAGCAGTGGTCTTGCATGGTTGGCAGACCTCCAGGGATTCTGATGCAGGATCAGAGGGAAGTGCCCTGTGGAGGTGCCCAGACTGGTCTGGGTCCTGGCAGCTGGCAGGGCAGTAGGCCACTGGCCTGGCCCTCAGGGAAGAGGCGATGAGCTGAAGCTGGCAGGGCAGGCACTGTGCCAGCGTGGAGGTGGCTTTCATTATGACTCTGGCTCTTCTCCGCAGCTGCTACAGCCTCCTGCCTTTGGCTCACCCAGCTCTGCCTGCTGTGGGAGAGCTGGAGAGACCGGTCTGGTTGGGAGAAGAAGGAACAGCTTTGATGGGCCAGGGGCCAGCCCAAGGCCTGAATATGGGTCTGAGGAGTTGGGGTTAGGGGTGAGAACTAGGGCCTGGAGACATGGGGGTCAGGCTGTGGCCATGGATAGGCTTCCCACACATCCCAGGAAACTGGCAAGAACTTGGGAGTTTTGACCCAGCTATAGGGGAAGCTCTACCCCAAACATCTGACCTCAGGAATAGAACTGGGAAGAGCCTGAGATACCTGGCATGGCCCGACCCCTGGCTCCCCACAAATTCAGCCACAATTGCCCAGAAGGTCCCTTCCAACTCCTGGGACCAAGAGGCAGCAAGACAGCTGAACCCATTCCTCAGATGGAAAAACAGACTTCCTCCTTCCCAAGAAGAAATCAGCCTTCAGGACTGTCACCTGTGACCCGTCAGGGCCTTGGGCCTGACACATCATGAGGCTGCTCCCCACTGCACCCCAGGGATGGGTGCCGACCTCCTCCTTTTCCCACAGTTGGGCCATCCCAGTGGTTCACACTTAGGGGTCTGCAGTCTCACAGGCCTGGGTTCGAATCCTGGCTCCTCTCCTGACTAGCTGTGCGATCTTGGGCAGGTCAGTCCACCTATCTGAGCTTCAGCTGGCTTGCCTGTAAACAAGGATAATGATACTCACTCAGCCAGCCCTGCAGGTTGTTGTGAAGATGAGATGAGCTGGGCCGCTGAGCGCTGTGGTCATTATCATTACTCATAGCATTTAAAGGCTCAGGGCACCCTGGATCGCCTTACCTGCTGCCCTGGTTTGACAGATGTGGGCAGAAGGGAGGCGGTTGTCCAAGAGTCCCACAGCCCATTGAGACTAGAACCCACGTCTCCAGGCACACCTCCCACCCTGTCACTGTTGCCTGGCTGCAAAGGCGCTCCAGGGGCCACTTGGCGTGTGCCCTGGGGGGTCAGGCTGCGGAGCTTGCTCACGGAGGGCCGTGGACCAGGCCTTGGTCCCAGCACTGCCTTCCTTTGCTGGCACAGCCATGAACTACGTGGGGCAGCTGGCAGAGACGGTGTTTGGAACCGTGAAGGAGCTGTACCGGGGCCTGAACCCGGCCACGCTGAGCGGCGGCATCGACGTGCTGGTGGTGAAGCAGGAGGACGGCTCCTTCCGATGCTCCCCCTTCCACGTGCGCTTCGGCAAGCTGGGCGTTCTGCGGTCGCGGGAGAAGGTGGTGAGTGTTCACCGGAGAGGAGGGGGCTCGTGAGGCCGGGGCAGCCACCGCAACCCCAGGAGAGGACCCAGGCCTCCTTGCGGTAGGGGTGTGCCCTTCTTTTCTATTTTCTTAGAAGGTTTTGGGTGGGTTTGGGGTTTTGGTCCAAGAAGGTTCCAGTTTTCCCCTAGAAACAGTACAGCGGGCAGTCCTCAGTACTGGGGCCCTCAGACCTGGCACCAACTTACAGAGACCTTACCTGGGTGTTACTGGTAAGTCACTCCACCTACACAAGTGGTGCGCTCTCATCTCCCTGGTGATTAAATAGGAGCTGATAACATTGTCTCAGGGCCAGGCATGTGGGTGACACTCAAAAATGCAGTTCCTCACCCTTAGGAAACCAGCTCTGTCTTCTCTGGGCTCAGACGAACATGGCAAATTTTTGAGTTCTGGTGTGTGAACAGAAGTTTGGTGGGCCCAAATCCCCTTGAAACTGGTGGTGACTGTAAACTTTCCAGAATCCTAATAAGAGAGTGTAACCTTGGGGGAGACAGTCTAGCTAAGTGGTTAAGGGCTTAGATTGTGGACTGAAACCTTCTGGGTTCATAGCCTCACCTGGCTACTTCCCAGCAAGTTACTTAACCCCTTTGAGCCTCAATTTCCTCATCTACAAAGGGGGGTAATGCTAGGAGGCAGTGGCAGGGGCTGTTGTGAAGATTTAACGAGACAATCTCGAGAAAACCCTATACGACATGCCTGGGAGAGGTTGGTTCTCACTGCTGTTCATGTGGTCAGTCCTCAAATGTTCGG